GGAGCAATGGCTAGTTACAGACATGACTGTCCGTTTTGACCAAGTTCTAACAGTTACCTATCTTTGAGGAACCTAATATCTAGGCTAAAAAATAGGAACCAATGACTACGCACCAGAGACGCTATATAAACCCTCAAACTTGTGAGAGTCAGGTCTCCGATATTCACTCTAAAAATCCTAATATCTTTCTTGTATCTCTTTGTATTGTTTCTCACTAAATCGTCGAAATATCTTGCAGATACACGTCCCCCTCTCCTCACATTTTCAATCAAGAAAACGTCATCATCTCGGTCCACTTCAAGTTCTGATCAGCAATCGAGATCAAATCTCTGTTAAAATAATAATATAAACTTTTTTTTTAAAATTTAAAATAATCTCAATTTTTAAACAACATAATTCATCTTATTGTCATTATCTAACTTTAATGCAAATTTCAATACATTTTTATTGGTGCCTCTGAGTTAATCTCAACCATTTAACTGCAATTAAATTATCCTCTTAAAATTCTTCCAAATTCGCCATCTCTCACAAATGAACATAAGCTCTAACTTCAAAAATATCAAAGTTAAAAATGTAGAATGAGTTAAATACAATGTTGGTACCAAATCAAATCTTTAACAAACATATAATTTTTTTTGTAACATGCTTTAAAAAAAATAAAGTAAACCCTCACAAACTTAGAGAAGAAATTAATTATAAACAAAATATTTATAAGTATAATTTGTTGCAAACATTTAAGGTGTTGTACTATGTTTGTATTTGGTTAAAAAATCATGCACGACATTTAACAAGTTGACCTAGTTATTATAAATTTTCAAAAAGAAAAAAGAAATGTCAAACTTCATTGGCTGATAATAGATAGTATAAAATAATTAAAATCCATAACTGCTTTGGAAAGGGCATTATCATATAAGATTTGCTCTCCGGCACAAAATCTTATCATTAAATGGAGTAACCAAAAAACACTGTTTCTGAAGTTTTGATATATACTAGTACAGTATTAATTGAACAAGTTGACACTATTTAAACACTGGCAGCTTTTCCTCAGACCTAAAAACCTTTGAACTTTTGGTTTGTGTTACATAGAATAATGCATGTGAAGATGTTCTTTGGTCATGGCTCTGAGATGAATTCAAAGGAGGACCCTTTCCTTCATTCAAATCTTGCCATTATTTTCTCTAACAATGAGAGGGGCCTTTTGAAGCTTAAGCATGACTTGGTTTCACTCAACTGATTTTATAAAATAAATTAATATTAGAAGTTATCTTAATCTATTTCTTTAATTAAAGTATTGATTTTGAGTGTGAGTTAAATTAAAAACCAACAGGACATAATATAAATAAATTATTTATATATTCTTATAAAACATAAAAAAAAAACATAAATTTAATAAAATAAAATAATAAGTAAACAAAAAATAATTTGATTCAACTAAACAATAAAAATATTAATGAATTAATTTATCAAAATTAGATTATTCAAATATAAATTATTATTAAAATAAAAAAATTTAAAATTTAAAATTTTTAAACAAATTTAATATAATTAGATGAGTCTAATATATATTAGTTGAATTAAATGAATGTAATCAATATATATACTAGTAGTGTTCCATAGCTAGTGATAATATTTATTTATATTTATATATGTATTAATGTAAATAAATTATTAATATTTAAAAATTTAAAAATTTAAAAATTTTAAAAATAATTAATATGATTTTTGTAAAATAGTTTTGTTATAACAATAATTTTATTATTTAAATATAATATTATATTAATTATTATTACATAGTGTGTACCAAAAAAATAATATTATAAAATAATATTATCCTACTATGTACATCAATAAATCTATATCTTATTTATATGATATCTATTTATTATTATCTATCTATTATTTCTGTTTTATTCTAATCATTGAATGAAATTACAAGAGACAAATTTTAAACTATAATTTTGTAAAATTATTATTGATATCATTTTAATTATAATAATTTTTTTCTCAATAATTCAAATTATTTCCCAATATTTGTTGTCTAAAATAAATACACATGAGCTATAGGGGGCATTCTTCGAGAGTCAAATAGATCAATGTGATATATATATATATATATATATATATATATATATATATATATATATATATATATATATATATATATATATATATATATATATATATATATATATATATATATATATATATATATATATATATATATATATATATATATATATATATATATATATATATATATATATATATATATATATATATATATATATATATATATATATATATATATATATTCAAGTTGAATGTAATCAAAAATTGGTATGAACATTTGACACTAGAATTGAAAAATTGACATGAATTAGGGAATGTAAAACAAAATTGCATAATTGAGGCAAGAAAGTAAAATAAAAAAAATAAAAATAAAAAAGAGAAAAGACATTAGAAGACTTTGGTAAATATTGGACCACTAATTAGTGCGTTTTTCACTTTTTCATTTTCTCATATATGTCCTCTGTTTTCTCTCTTGAGTTTGATTCTCACTATCAAAAATAGTTCATTAGATTTTATTTTTATACTCTCTTTTATACTAGTGTATAACAAACAATTGTCAACTATTTTTAAAAAGGAAATTATTCTTGAACCTCAAAAATTTTATGTTAAATATAGTATTTTTGAAACTTATAACTCGTAAAAAAGAAGGTGCAAAAATAGAGAAACATATTTGATATTAGATACGTATTTGTATTTTAATTTGTAAACATCATAAATGTGTTTAAAGGATGTATTCAATAAATTTTTACTTAATTCAACCAATGAATTGTGGAAGGTCATTGAGTCCGTTGACTGTGGTAGACCATACTTACATCATGCAATTTGCTATGTTCCACTAACATTCAACAATAATAATTAAATTTAATCTCTAAAATATTCATCTATCTTCACTTTTTAATATGTGTTAATTGAGTTAAATGAGTATAAATTATTAATTTAAAATATAATTCATGTGGTATATTTTTATATTTATTATTAATGTAAAATAATTATTAATATTTATATATCAATAATTTTTTAAAATAAATAAAAATCATATAATATAATAAATTATTGAATAGATAAAAGTTTAAAATTTAATTCAATCCTTAACATTTTAATATTATTAACTAAATCAGTTATAGATTGTCTACAAAATCCAAAATATAAAGGAAATAGACGCGAGAAATATATAATCTTTAATTATCGTCTAAAGTAGACAAATTTATTTCTTAATAAATCATTCATTATTTAAATTAATCGAACGGTTGTCCGTTTAACACATTAGATTCCTCCTATATAATTTGAACCACTTTTAATATATAAAAAATATATGTTATTTTCATATATTTATATTTATTTTTACTTTCATATCATTTGAATTCTTTTATTTATGTTATAGTAATAATCTTGCATGATAACGTTATTTTCATATGTTTATATTTATTTTTACTTTCATATCATTTGAATTCTTTTATTTATGTTATAGTAATAATTTTGCATGTTCACGTTATTTTCATATGTTTATATTTATTTTTACTTTCATATCATTTAAATTCTTTTATTTATGTTATAGTAATAATTTGCATGTTCACTCCGCAAGTTCTATATTAAAAATCCAATGTATTTTTCACTATCTATCACATTGTTTTATTAACAATTCTAATTCCATTTCGAAACAAATTAGATTTTACAACTATGCATGGCAAGACATAATTTATTACTATTTACTATTTTTTATTAAACCAAATTTTCTCATATTTATAAAGTTTAATAACTAAATTGAAGAAAAAAAATAGTTTAAAAATTAAATTGATGATTTCTTCAATATTTAAATAATTAAAAGAATTATATACGAGTCATTCAATCATCACTTGTTTGAAAGAAGAAAAACAAGAGTTATTCAAGCACACAATAAATAACAAACACAAAATTTCAAAAATTAATGTTAGGAAGACTTTTCTTTCCCTTTTTCAAAAGAATCAAAGATGATAAATAGACATGATGAAGTCGACCATAAGTTAAAAGAGCATGACCCCCCATAAGGTTAGTGGAAAAAATAAGTGGATATATGAATTTTGATGGCATGAAAGATGCATGAACGATGAGAACATACATGGATGGTTGGTCATGGGTCATGGGTCATGGGCATGGGAAGCAAATCTCAAAAGAGAATCAAAAGAAATTGGCCTCTCTTTGACACCACTCTTCCCCACCTGCCTAAGATATGGTAAGCTCCACATGATTTCACACCTAAGGCCACATTGCTTACATCACCTGTATCTCTTCAAACGATTTTGTTGGACCCCACTTGCACCCTTTCACTTTCTCTCTCTTCCACTTTTGCTTTTCATTTTATTTTTTATAAATTGATTATCTTCTATTCTTCATTGAGAAAAATTACAATAAAGAGTAAATTTTTCTATAAACAAATTTTAATATTAATATATAATTCATAATTTTTCTATAAACAAATTTTAATATTAATATATAATTCATAATCTCTGATTAATCTAAAAGAAATCTCTTAATATCTCATTTCATTAGATGAATTTTTACTTTTGCTTTCACCTAAACTTTTTAATTTTTCACCCTAACATTTAGACTTTATATATATATATATATATAAATAATGGTCACCACTCACTACTCTCAACATCCTATAAAAAATATTCACTTCATTATTTTATTGATTCATATTTTGATATTATATATGTTATAATTATTTTGCATTGCTTGCCATGTAATTCAAGATCAATTTACAAAATTTTCAAGATTTTGGATGAAATCTGGTCGGATCTTGCTTTGTGGGATGTGGATTTTGGTGGGTCTTATTTCTCTACAAAGCTCATCTTTCAATCTCATCTTCCTCTCATAAACCAACACATAAACAATCCATCTCACTTTCATTTAACCAACCCTTTTCCATTTCAATCCATTTATCTTCCAAAATGGGTATGGCTGCAGAATCACAGTTTCATGTTTTGGCTGTTGATGATAGTATCATAGATAGAAAACTCATTGAAAGACTCCTCAAAACCTCTTCTTATCAAGGTAATCTCAAAAACCAAACATAAACCAACCAAGTACTATGTAACATGTTTACATGTTAACATGTTAATGTTATTAATGAAGTTTCACTTCTTATTTTTTAATGACAGTTACTACAGTTGATTCTGGTAGCAAGGCTTTAGAGTTCTTGGGCCTGTGTGAAAATGATCAGAATCATCATACCAGCACAAATATACCATCTGTCTTTCCTAACAATCATCAGGTATGGTTTTGTTATTCAACTCAAAAAATGTCTGAAATAATGTTTTTATCTTAAAATATTAATCACCTTGTTTCTTAATTATTAGTTTGGTTTTTTTGTATTCTGAAATTTCTTGGATTTTTGTTTTTACAGGACGTGGAAGTTAATCTTGTTATAACAGATTACTGTATGCCTGGCATGACAGGCTATGATTTGCTTAAGAAAATCAAGGTACTACTTGAATTTATTTATAATAATTCTTCTATCTAAGAACGAATCCATAATAAAACTTTACATTCATTTTAATTTGGTAATTTTCTGCCGTTTGAAATTTCAACGAAAGAAAATTAGCAGAATGAATGCATAAAGTTGACAAAAATTTTTTTGTGAATTTGGGCTAGTTTTATTATTGCCTTTGGAATATTTCTCTTTGAATAGTTTTCAGTTTTCCACCCTAAACAAATCAGGTTCAATAAGTCATCAAAAGATTGTGTTTTCAAAAGGATCTATTTTTAGTAAATAGTGACTAGATTTGATTTGAGTGAAGAAACTGTTTGAGAATATTTGAAAAATTCTATTCAAACATTTATTCCACCTGAAACCAAACACACTGATAAATTTTATTGGATTCTTTCTGCTATTTCAGGAATCATCATCATTGAGAAACATACCAGTTGTGATCATGTCATCTGAAAATGTGCCTTCAAGAATTAATAGGTAACAAAAATTTTAATTTTTCATAACTTTGAACCCGCGTCACCCACTTGTTCATCCCAACCACTAGATTATTTAACATAAAAAATAATATTTAGATGAATCATCTGTTAAATCAGCTCTGTTGATAGTTATTCTGTTATTCTGGAACATCAGATGAAATTTCGGTCACTAGATTACTTGACCAAACATAAGATTCTTATTAATCTGTCAAAATTATTGTAACAGATGTTTAGAGGAAGGAGCAGAAGAATTTTTCTTAAAACCTGTAAGGCTATCAGATTTGAGTAGACTTAAACCTCACATGAAGAAAAACAAAGTGAAAGATCCAAGAAATGAAACAGAAGAAAAGATTGAAAATTCAGAAATTCTACTACAACAAGAAGCACCAAAATCTCAATATTCACATTCAGAATCAGAATCACAATCACAGTTACAAGCACATTCAACTATTGACCAACAGCAACAACCACTACAACAAAACAACAATAATAACAAGAGAAAGAGTATGGAACAACAAGGACTTTCATCTGAGACTGATAGAACAAGACAAAGATACAGTGGTATAGCTACTGTTGTATGATGATAACTCATGTGGCAAATAATTTTTCTTGAATTTCAAAGTGTAATTTTTATTTAACTTTTTTTATAAATTAAATATTAACTTGGGTAGTGTAGAGTTGTTCCATGTAAACATTTCTTGAAAATATTCCCTTCCAATTTTTGTTTCATATGAAAATGAAAAGAAAAAAAATATTGAATGTGTAAGATATAACTTAGATAAGAACATGGTTGTTATTAATGAGAGAATCTAATTCTGGTACAAAGCTTACTTTAAATAAATAAATAAAATGGAAAATGAGTTTTGATTATATTTTATGTAGTGAATTATTTTAGTCTGTTTATGTAAGATACTTTGGTTTGAATTAAAAGTATAATTTACTTTGTTTTTTAATTATTATTTTTCTGTTTGAAAACTAAAATATTCAACTTTCCATGTTATCCTTTTTCCATTATTTTAGTTGCAATATATTTTCATCTCTTTTAAGACTTTTGTTAAAGGAGCGTCCTTCTAAAATTAGAATTTTTAATTTTTAATTTCTCTTGCAATTTAGCGATTGAATTAATGATAATTTTTATCGATAATTTATTATTTAACAATTAAATTAATGACAGTTTAATAATGAATTTAGTAGGAGAGATCAAAATTAAAATTTTTAATTTTAGATGGACGATTCTTTAACATATTTTTTTAGAAGAATAAAAAATAAAAATATTAAAGACTTTAAATATATTTAATTTTTTAAAATGTTATTTACACCCTTTAATTAAATTAAAAGGTCAAAATGTCTCAATCAAATAAGTCTTCAAAGTATTTGGACTAAATTTGACCCATAAGCCCTAACTTCTTTTTTATCTTTTAAAATAATTTTAAATTGGAAATTTCTTTCTTAACCTAGTTATGTTTTACATTTTTGAAAATCTGAAAATATCTTTGAATATATATATATATATATATATATATATATATATATATATATATATATATATATATATATATATATATTTAAATGTACATTGTGAATTTAGGATATTGAGTTATTTCAGATATGTATAATCAAACGAACTTCTATATTTCATTTTTAAGAAGGTTTCAGATACGCATATCACAAATAATTCAATATCTCAAATTTCTTTTGATTTTATTTTGAAAAGATATTTATTTATAATATAGTTATGATATAATTAAATTGATTTATTATTAATAAAAATTAATTTAAATTTACAATTAAAAATTAAATATTAAAGTAAATTTAGATATGAAATTAAAAAATGAATGCAATAATTAAATTTTTAATTATAGTGGTGAAATGTAATTGTCTTTTAATTTTTTATTTAAAATTATGAATAATTTTTTATAAAAAAATATAAGAAATATTTTTAATTGTAATTTTAAAATTTTAATTTAATTTAGATGACACTTTTTATTTTTTATTATATAATTGATGATTAATTGTTATGTTGTAATTAGAAAATTTATTATGTATACAAAAATATTTATATTTTAATTAAAAGTTAAATGTTATTAATAATATTAAAATAAAATATTTAATATTAAATGAAAATGATGAATATATATATATATATATATATATATATATATATATATATATATATATATATATATATATATATATATATATATATATATATATATATGAAAACATGTCGAATATGCATATCTGAAAACCCATTAAAAATAAAATATTGAGTTATTTCAGATATGCATATCCGAAACAACCCAATATTAAACTATGAGAATATTTCGGATATGTATATCCAAACAAACTACTAAAAAACTTAAATTTAGTGCGTTGAGATATGCATAACCGAATTTTGAAAATATTTTGAATTTTTGCCAAATATTTACAAGAAGACACTAAAGTCCAAAAAGAAATTTCCTTTAAAATTTTATAACATTTTCATACAAAATAGTTTCAAAATATTATGGGCCTACAAAATAGTGTCACAAAGCTCATGTCCAGGTCCACGGAAAATACTAAGTAGATTTTTTAACTCACTTCATAATTTTCTAGTGCACCATGCAAAATTTCAAAAATGTTTTTAAAAATCAAAAGTGTATTTTTGATACACATCACACACACATATAATTAATTTATTTTTAAGATTTGTTCCATTTTACGATAAATTTTATTTCGAAAATATACTTCCAAAAATACACTTCCGATAAAACAACACAAAAATCTCATAAGATTGTTGTGAATGGGGAAAAATAGATTCGTTAAAGGTTCTAGAAAGAGTACAAAAAAAGAGTCATAGACAAATTTGTTCCTCTGATCCAAAAACCACCGTCGGAGGAATTGAAGAAATTTAATCCTCTTTACAATTTGATACTCTAATAAAAAAAGTTATTATAAAATATTTAACTTAATTAAATATTTAAAAATGATATTGCAATCTCATTTTATTATAATTAGGTAAAATTATCTTCAGGATTTTATTTTATTATAACAAATCAGTTTCATTACATGGTAGTCTTTTATATTAATTAACATTTAATTTTTTATGCTAATTAACCTCTGCGCCTCTGCACTGTTGACCTTTCTTCATAAGTTTTATTTTAAAAAAATTAATTTAATTTAATTTTGTTGAGGTGGCATTATCATTGCTGGCATGAAATTTTTTTATTTAATTTAAATAGAAATTAATTAATACACTTTTTTTTTTATTTAAACTTTGTTCATTAACATTATCATCATATCTGAGACGGAACTCATAAATGCAGCTCACAAATGAAGGATTGCTACAGGGTTATGTTGTTGTTCCCTGAGCCAAGAGATTTACTGTTCTCTATTCTTTCTTGAAGAGGCACCAATCAAAAAAAGTGATGGTTTTTTTCTCTTCATAAATGCAGACACATATTTCTTTTCTTGATTTTGTTAAAATTGTTGTTTGGTTTTAACTTAGAGAAAATGCAAGTCCCACATTATTTTCTCTAGATAAAACTTAAGTCTTTATATAAATTTAAATATTACAATTTAAATATTACAATTCAACGAGCATTTGCAAATTATAATAAAGTTACAAAGATTTAGACTTTAATCTCATAAAAATTCTTTAAAATTTATATTAGATAATTTTAAAATATTTTAATAAAAAAAATTAATTAAATAAGTTAATTTATCCTATAAAAAAATTAAATAATAAAATATATATTTAATTAACTAAATTTAAATAAAAAAATTTCATGTCAGCAACGTTAGTGTCACCTCAGTAAAGTTAAATGACACATTAATCCTGTAAGTGTTAAATCAACTTTTTTTTGGAACGGAACTTGTAAAAAAGATCAACGGTGAAAATGTTAGTTAAAATAAAGGACTAACGTGTAACGAAAAAACATAAATGACTGACTTATTATAATAAAATAACTTAAAGAACTCCGAAGGTAACTTTACCTTATAATTATTATCATGCAGGAGTAGAATTGACAGAAATGGATCTGAAGAACTCACTAGGAGTATTTGAAAGTGAGAAGTTAGTTGAATATGTTCACGAGATAACTAGAAAACAAGCAGTGATAGTGAAGCAAGAACTAGAGAAGAAAGAAGAAGCAAAAGAAACAAAGGAAGAAGAGAAAAAGCCTGTGGAGAATGAAACAAGCCGTCATATATTATCCTATCCGAAGTGTATTTCTGGAAATTTTCGGAAGTACATTTTCGGAATAAAATTTGTCGTAAAATGGAGCGAATCTCAAAAATGAATAAATTATATGTATTTGGGATACGTACCGGAAATACATTTCGAGTTTTCCAGAGGTATTTTTATAATTGCATATGGTGATTTTCTATCCTATAAAGTGGATTAAGAAATACTCGATATTAATTAATGGGTTGGACTTTATCTGAACACTCCATTGATCACACCTTTTATATAGGGGATTGCTCCTCCCTCCCGCCCTAAGTGGTAGAGGTTTTAACTTGCCACCCTCACACTTATATCTGGCACCCCCTCCCCCATTTTATATGCTTTTACTATTATACCCTTGTCTAGAATCACCAATTTTTAAAAAATATGAGTTTTATTGGAAATTTGGGGGTGTATCGAATTTTTTCGAGATTTCCAGAATTTTTGAAAAAATATCGGAAATTTCAGTATATCTGAAATTTTCGGTACAGTACAAAAAATTTTAGTATATTAGAAATTTTCGGTTCAATACAGAAAATTTCAGTATATTTGAAATTTCCGATACATTACATGAAATTTCAGTATATTTCAAAATTTCTAGTAGTATAAAACTATTTTTTTATTTTATTTTTCGAAAAATTTTACCGGAAATTTGAAATATCCAGAATACCGAAAATTTTATATAAACTATTGGAAATTATAAAGTATTAGAAATTTTGTTATTTCCTATCAAAAATTTCTTTTGTACCGGAAATTTCACTACCTATACCAAAAATTTCGTTCTAAAATTCTTCCAATCTCACCAAGAGTATTTCTGAAAATAATGAAAATTAGGGGTGTCAGATTCAACCGTGGAGGTGACAAATTAAAATCACTAAGTGGTGGAAAGCAACTCTATAAAAATTCAAAAACATTTTTTAAATCCAAAAATATATGTTCAGACACATTATACACTACATTCTTTCGTAAAAAAGTCACACCCATATTTTGTTAAAAAAACATCTAAAAATATATTTTTTTGAATAAATCCAAAACCATATTTTTTGCATTTCATAGAAGACCATACTACTACGGAAAACTCATTTAACAACGGTTGTAAAACACATATAATTACGCAGACCCGGGCGTTGTTATGTAGAGTGTGGTTGTATATGCGACACTTACAATCATGGTTCAGTAACCGTTGTGGTAAAATGTCTATCACAACGGTTGACGTAAACAATTGTTGTAATAATTATAGTGGCATGGGTTTGATACCCAACTACAACCAAAATTAAAGCGCATAAGAAATAGTATTTAACCACAATTTAACGTTCTAATCAGTGTGGTATATGTACGATTTTATTATAAAATATGTGATTGTTTGTTTTTCCCTGC